GTTTTTTAGGCATCTCTTGATATTTTTAAGGCCAGTGTAAATCAATATGACAATTCTTTGGAACAGACTGTCCTTAAATTTGATTATTCAACATGAAGATTGGAAACAGTCATTGAAAAACAACTTCTTCCAATATACCGTAGCTTTTATAGCAAAGAGTGAGAAGTTCTTTTTAGTCCCAGTTCAAACAGTTCTGTGGATATGTGCTCTTTGAATAAGCTGCCTACACTGCAGCAGTCAAATAGGAGAAGACAGAATGCAATAAAAGGTTGAATCGCATGTGTTAGTTAACTGTATCATTAAGGGTTGTACTTTTGTCAATATGCTATGTTCTGATAAAACTATATGATTAATGTCAAGGTATCATATAGTTCATGTATTTATGAAATTATATATTTGTTGGGAGTGCTAAATTCAAAACTAATATATACTTTTCTTACTTAACATTAAGATTAATTTTGTCACCAAGTACCTTCAATACTAAATAAAAAGAGATAAAATATTTGTTAAATGTTTAATAAGCATATTCACACAAGAGTTAAACCTTAATATGTAAATATTTGCATTTTAAAACATGCAATTTTATCTTTAGAAGCAAATAAGTCTTTGAATCCATGATCACAAAGTGTTTTTCTACTTGTTTGTCTCTAAATTTCCTTAATCTGTGTTTTGCAATTTTCAGTGCAAAAGTCTTGCTTCCTTACTTAGTTAAGCTTATTACTAAGTACTTCTCTCTTTTCAGTACCATTTATTTTAGTTAGAATTTAGAATGCCAACCAAAGTCTCATGTGTTGAAGATTTAGTAATAATGAAACAATGTTCAGAAATGGCACTTATGGGAAATGATGGAATCATGAGGAGATGGTGGAAACTACAGGGACAGGGGGCAGTTGTACCAAATGACTCATGGGTTGAAAGTTTGTTCCCCAGTGCAGCAATGGTCAGAGTTGTAGTGTTTGGGAAGTAATTGGCTCTTGAGAACTCTGGCCTTATCAGTTGGTTGTTAATAATTTGAACATATTATTGGGAGGTTGGAGGGCATGATCAAAATCAACAGGGCATGATTTTGAAGGGCATATCTTTTCCCCAGCCTCTCCCTCCTTCTTTGTACTCAGTTTCCCAGGCTGCCAGGAGAGGAACACCCTTCTGCCTTGTTGTTCTGCTTTACCTCAGACCCAAAACAATGGAGTCTACTGATATTTGCCTATAACCTCTGAAACAATGAACCAAAATAAATCTTTCCTCCTTTAAATTGTTTTTTGTGTGGAATATTTTTAATCACACTGGTTAATCTATACCACCATCCCTAGTTCTTTATTTTATTCTTTTTAAGCTATATATGATAGTAGAGTAAGTTTTGACATATTTATGCAAACATGGAACATATCTTATTTAGATTCTCAGTCTTATGGTTATATATGATGTGAAGATTCGTCATGGTGTATTCACATATGTACATAGGAATGTTTATCATGGCTATAAAAAGCTAACATACTGAAAATAAGATTATTTTCCTAATCTTCATTGTTTTGAAGAAATACAATTATTTTTCTGTATTTGTATCCTGGTATTTTACTTAATTTTTCGTTCAAACAGATGTTGTTCATTTTGTGGAGTATTCTGGGTTTTCTATATATAATGTCATGGCATTTACAAACATTGACTTCTATTCTGATTTGGATGTCTTTTATTTCTTTTACTTGCCTAATGGCTTTAGCTAAAGTTACATTGAGGAGGTAATTATGTTGAAGAGAAAAGGTGAAAGTAGGCATCTTTGAGTTGTTCCCTTCTTAGTAGAAAAACTTTCCACAAATATTATGCTATCTATGGATTATAATAAAATGTCCATATGACATATCTTCTCTACAGACTCAGTAAAATATCTATCAAAATAAAATGATATTTTTACATAAATAGAAAGCAACAATTGTAAAATCGATTCAAAACCACAAAAGACCCTAAATAGTCAGAACATCTTTAAAAAGGAGAGCAAAGCTAGATATATTTCACTTCCTGATTTCAAAATATATTGCAAAACTCTGCTAATTAAATAGTATGGTTTTCACATAGAAAACAGACCAAAGGAACATAGTCATGATCTCAGAAATAGAGCCCCATGTATGTGGCCAATTAATCTTTATCAAGGAGAAACAAAAGACAAAATTGTGAAAAATACCATCTCTTCACAAATGATGCTGGAAAAAAATGAACATCTGCATCCAAAAGAGTAAAATCAGACTCTTACCATATCCATACATAAATAAACAGTCATATTTAGATTTGAAACTGTAAATCTCTTAAGAGAAAACACAGGGGGGAATCTTGGTATTAGTTTTGTTAATGACTTCTTGATTATAACACAAAAAATAGATATGACAATACAGATTGTAATAATAAAAATAGGTAAATGAGGCAATGTCACATTAAAATAGTTTAATTCAGAAAAGGAAACAATAAAAATGAAAATGCAGTCTAGGAATGGGAAAAGTCTTTGTAACCAATATGTCTAATATGACATATTGTTTATTTCCAAAACACATGATGTATGCCTGAAACTCAATAGTAAAGCAACACGTAAGCTTATTAAAAATGGGCAAATGACAGTTCACAATAGCTAAACTACGGAGCCCAATGAGATACCCATTGACAGATGAGTGGATAAAGAAAATGTGCCATATATACACAATGGAATAGTAGTCAGTCATAAGGAATAACTTTCTGACTTTTGCTAGAAAATGGATAGAGGATATAATGCTAAGTGTCATTAGCCAAACCCCCCAAAACAAAAAAAAGCGAATAGAAGGTAATCCACAATAGTGGAGTGGCGGTGGGGGGGATAGAAGTTCAGAGGATGAGATAAAGGGAATGAGGAAGGGAGAGGGGATAGACATAGGAAAGACAGTGCAAAGAATCTGACATAAGTTTCTTATGTACATATATGAATATAGGTCAGTGAATCTCAAGTTTGTATACATCCATAAGCCTGGAGTCCTAATTAGAATAAGATATATTCCTTGTTTCTATAATTGTATCAAATGGGACCCTACTGTCATGTATAACTTTAAAGAACCAATAAAAAATGGGCAAATATCTTCAACATTTTTTCAAAGATTACATATAAATAGACAAACTGGATATAAAATGATGCTCAAGGTCACAATCACCAGGGAAGTGCACATCTAATCAACAATAGGATATCAGCTCACATTTGTTAGAATGGCTAAATTAAAAAAAAAAAAAAAAGTTCTGGTGAAGATGTGTAGAAATTAGAACTCCTTTATACCCTGATGGTAGTAATGCAGAATGGTGCTGTCAACCCAGATTATAGGAGGGAGGTTCTTCAAAAATAGAAATATTATATGATACAGCACGCCAACTTTGGGCATTTATCCAAAGGAATTTAAAATAGATTCTCAAAGATATTATCACCCCCATGTCCATTAAGGCACTATTCACAAAAGCCAAAATGTAGAAATAATATATAAGTCAACAGACAGACTAGTGAATAGAGTTAATAGAAAAATACCATTCATACGCATAATGAAATATTATTCAGGTTTTAACCACAGGAAATCCTGCAATTTGTGACAGTATGAATAAACATGAAAGATGCTAGGGGAAGTGATATAAGCTAGTCAAGTAAGCACAAATATTCCATGATTACAATTAAATGAGCCTTCTAAAATAGGCTCATCTGACCAAAGAACAGTGTTGTGATTGTCATTCAATGGAGGGGGGAAATGGGCAGTTATTAATCAAGGCTTATAACTTCTAGAGATCTGCAGTTTAATATTGTGCTTTAAAAATGCTGTATTTCACACTTTAAATTTTGTTTAGTCTGAATTTCATGTTAGATGTTCTTAACATAATTTTAAAAAAGAAAACTGCATATATTAATTAGATGTAACTTAATTTTACTATCAGGCCATATCCAATGAATGATTTTCAGACAAAAATTATTTTCATTGAAGAAATACGTTTATCAGTCTACAGTCTAATGTTATCCTTCCATACTGCTGAAATAATGTTAATTTATTCTTGGATGAAATACTTTATCAAATTGCATTTGAATTCAAACTTTGTTATTTATGTTATTCTTTTGGATTTGCAACCCAGTGCTTTGATGAATACATTTTTAACTTATCAGTAGGAATTTTTTAAAAAATATGATTACTACACTTTTATAATTGTTCATAAATGGTTTTGACAAAAGTCCTAGTCAATATTTATTATTAGAAAAATCCTTAACAAATTCTTGATATTGATGATTATCAGACAACTTTATAGAAATTAATAGATTTACTATTTCTGACTACAGAAGATAAACTTTTAAAACTATTAGTACTTTATAAATACTACCTTATATGGCAAAAGTATGTACTTTCTCATTCTTCAACTTGATCATCAATTTAATTTTAATTTTAATAGATACTATATTTGTGACTATTATAAAGTTATGTCAAATAATTTCAAGAAGTTGATGAGGAATATATGGTAAACAAACACATAAATGCATAATTATCTTTGTCATGGCTTATGTATTGCACTAAATGGTTATACACTTATAATATTACTTTTCTTCTCTTCTTGATTTTTCTGTTTAATTCTCACATTCCTAAACTTTTATATTTGAACTTTACATGCTATATGAGGGGAGAAATAAATTGGAATTGCACTAATAGCTTACTAAATTGATTTTTGTTCAATATGAAACTGGAAACTTAACTACTCTATTTTTCTGTCACTTAAAGATAGACAGCAAATAAGATATTGTTTGTTAAGGTATACAGGTTCTTTTCATGTAAATTATTTTCCATATATCTTAAAGCTCATATAAACCTAGTATTTAATTACTAATTAGTAAACTAATATTTTAAATTCTGAAAATGATTTGTTTATTTCCTAGTTTAACATTTATTTGAATGCAAAATTTAAATTTTATAATATTTTCTTATAAGATGACTTTATGAACATTATTTTTAATATGAAATATTTTCCAGAGCACTATCAACTATATGTTCCTGAATCAGCTCAAGTTGGCTCAGCTGTTGGGAAAATCAAGGCAAATGATGCTGATACTGGCTCCAATGCTGACATGACCTACTCCATTGTGAATGGTGACGGTGTTGGGGTATTCTCCATCTCCACTGACAAAGACACCAGAGAAGGAATCCTCTCCTTAAAGAAGGTAAAATAATATATATGTCGTGATTCACACAAATCACTAATCTTTCAAAGAATGGAAATTTGCTAGAGGTATGAATAAGCCATGTATTTTCTCTTTGTAATATTACTACATTTTAATTATGGTAGTGTCAGAAGCTTTGGATCCTCTCTCAGAAAGCATACTTTGATAAAACGAGAAGTCTGATGCAGAGTATACCTGGACCGTGTCTCTCCTTACCTTTGCTGTGTTTCTCATTGCTCAAGTCTACCTGAATTGTCCCAGTGATACCAATCAAAAAATAAGTATAATTCATTTCAACTAAATATAAAGGGTTAAAAATGTCCTCAAAATAAAGCCATGATGATTCTGTAATAACAAAAATGGGCAGCTTCCATAGCATTCATGTATCAGTTAAAAAAAAAAATGTAACTGTAAATAATCTTAGAAGTAAAACTAAGAATTTATCAAAATATTTGAGTGAAATACATAAATAATATAAACACTCGTAGAAATCTTATTTTAAAAATGATACCTTGTTCTGATCTTAAAAATTCAGATGTAATTTCAAGGACAATAATAACTTTTATTTTCTGAATCAACTAATGTGTGTGATAGGACAGGAAAAGGAGTGTGCTAACTTACATGCCACACAGAATACTTTGTATGAAATTTGGAGATACAAACCCACTGGATTACTTTAAAACTTAATATTTTTATTAATGCTGTTAATCTTCAATAGAAAACTACTTGAAAACTTGAATGGCAAAATACATACCTGAATGATATTTAGCTTTTAAATGTCTTTGGCATTCAATTGTGAGATCCTTTCCCCATCAATGTTTAGCTTTTCCAGTGTCTACCAGGTTTTGGTGCCTTTTATTTTTTCCACCATTTATCTTTTACTTTTGACATATAGAATATTTGCCTTTATTCTGTTTCTTCTCCTCTATCTCATTCTATTTCCAAATACTGTAAATTCTTGATATATAACTATTTGTCCTTCTGTTTGTTTTCTCTTATTAATTTTTTTTTCCAAAATGCATAAATTAATGAGAAGATCTCTAACTCATCTATTTTTTTGTTTTCAAATAATACATATTTGTGTAAAATATTTTATAACTTTCAGATAAAAGCTTTATCATGAATGCTAGCTCTGTTAACACCATTCCTCATAAAGAGGATTTTCTGATTAATACAAAACTACTGTTTGCTAACACCCATTAAAGACACAGCCTTCTGCTTGATTTTCATGGAGTCATGAAGTCCGTGTCAGTGAAACCATTAACTTTATCCTCCAGTCTTATTTTGTTTCTAAGAATCTGGCATTTAGAACAAAACTACTACTTTTTGCTTTTAAGAGTACATAAGTCTCTTCTATTTATAACCTTAACAGTGGAATATACACAATTTGAAGAAAAAATTTCAAGTGTATTTCCTATTGCCTTGTGTTCCTCTCTTCATGTATAGTCAGATCTTATTTTTGCAATATAGGAAAATTGAGATCCCTAGTTTGTGTGTGTGTTTCTGTCTGTCTGTCTGTCTCTCCTCTCTCTCTCTTTTCCTCTCTCTCCCTCTTAATTTTCTTCAGTAGGGCTGCAATATTCAGCATTTTAATAAGTACTTCAAGTGATGCTATTGTAGAGTGTGTTCGAACACCAGTTGATAAATTGGTACCATAAAGTTATTTGTATTGTGTTAAATCTTTTCAATACTTCTCCTAGTAATTATATTGTTATATTGACTTAAGATTGAACCTTGACTAGTGGTGGAAAAAGAATAAGAAGCAAGATTATGGAAAGAAAAAGAAGGAAAACATACCACCTCATATGGGAAGCTTTGCAGTAAATGACAGGGAGAGGTTTTGAAGGCTGTAGATGGATTTGGTAGGACAAAGATTTTAATATTAAGAAGAGAGACTGAAAACAGACAACAGTGATGCCAACAGGAGAATAATTGATTTAAAAGGATGCCCTGGTGATAGAGGGCATCCTTTTAAATCAATTATTTAAATCAAGTTTTCAAGTAGTTTTCTATTGAACATTAACAGCATTAATAAAAATAGTAAATAGTAAATGGAATCTTGATCACAGGTGGATGAAAACAGCTCATTTATGACAGTTTCTTTCCTACAATGAGAGAACTGAGGGACAGGAAGAAGACGGCAATGGATACAGGGAAGTTTGGATGATATAGCTGGAGAATGTGGAGGGTTTTTCTTGTCTTGTAAGTCCCATTACCTTATAAAATAGGAAATAACATACAACTATAGAAACTGAGCAGGGTGGTGAATAGTTTGTCTATATTCAAGATCTGAAGTCATGTAAACATTGGGGCATTGTAAAAAGTGGGAAGATCTTCCCACATGCAGAGCAACGGTCAATCTAATGGCTGCCAGAAAAAAATGAAATTGAAACTATGCACATGTGCGCACATGTGTTTAATTAACATGCTTCATTCCCTTTTGCACCCACTCAAAATGTATATTTTCAAGAAGAAATGTTTTCAATTCAGCAATAAGTACTGATGATGTATTAAAAACAACCCCAGTGACTCAGGAGGCTAAGACAGGAGGATTCCAAGTTCTAGGCTAGTCTCTGCAGTTCAGCAAGACCCTGTCCAAAATTTAAAAATAGTAATAATAATAATAATAATAATAATAATAATATATTATTGAATGTAGTTCAGTGGTAAAGAATCCCTTGGTTCAATCTCCAGTGTGAAAAAAAAGAAAAGTAAAGAATCAATGCATTTTACCCTTCAAGAGGGACTGATTCAGATGGCAGGAAAAGGATAAAAATCATCCTTAAAACCTGTTTCTTATTTAATCTCTAAGGCAGCTCAGTTTAGTCAGCAAGGCAGAAAGCTAATCTCCTCGAAGATCAGAACCTGAACTACTCTATAAACCAGCCAGCAGGGGCACCTGCACATCCATGTCCATATCATTCCCTCATCAGAAAATTGCCAAGTGGAATTCTCTGATGCATGACGTGGTACATTGTAAATACACTCTGGTAACTTTCATTCATTGTTTAATGGAGCCTGACTGGGTGGAAAGGTGAAGAAAGATAAGGATGAATGCAAGTTGATGTGCTCTGTCCTCTGACATCCTCTGTTGCTTGGGATGGACTTCTCTACAACAGTCTCTCTCAGAAACTCTTTTTATGGTTCCTGTATCAATTTGCATTCTTTATTGCAGTTGTTCTAAATATTAACTCTTTTATTTCAAGACTCTAATTTACCCTGTCCCTTTTTAGTGAATACCATTTGTACTGCCGCTTTCCTTTCCCTAGGTTATTCAATTGCTCATACAATGCCTAGTAATTTAACTCAAAATATTACTGTTGTGATTTATGTCAAGGAAGTACTAAGAGATACAACCTTTACTGTGGAAACAAAAGTAAATCTTGATCTTACCATTTATATCTATGACTTCATCTAATTCTTTGAAACTTCACTTATTTTAAAAATGTACTAGGTGATTCTGAAAAATAGATAAAATAAGGTGAAAGGATGGTTTAAGCTATGTCTGACTCATAATCATTCTACTACCTCAGCATCTCCTTTACTATCTCTCTCATTCTCTATTTAAAAGGGAAGTTTTTTCTCCCGAACTTGAAGTTCTCTGCCCCAGGTTCCACAGTCACTGGCATTACAGTGTGTGCCAGTTGTCTGATTAACATTAATCTTGTTGTGTGTGAAGTGGGAAAGGGACTGGGGGCTGAACCCAGGGCTCCCCTGCTTGCTAGACAGGTTCCCTAACCCTGACTCATATTCCCAGCCCAAAGCACATTTGCTTACACTTTCCATGCCACTCCATTTGGTCCTTTAGTTGGCCTTTCTATTCCATGTCATCAACCACCTGGATGCACAGGAAGAAGAAAATCCCCTCTGTCTGTTGAATCACATATGCTTGCTTTCCTCATGTTTCTGTTAATCTATTTCCCCTTCCTTTTTGGGAAGCAGCAGGTTCCTTTATGCTTCACAGTTCAAGTTAAATACTGTTTGTGTAAGGCGTATATCCAGGTGTATTTCTGTCAGGAATCTCCTTTGAACCCTCTTTTTTGTTTCATGTATCATAGTATGCATTACCATAATTTTTCACTGTACACAAAATGAAATTCCATATCCACAGCAAAGATTCTGCTTCTGATAGAATAAGACATTTTGTCATTAATTCACTCTAAATTACCTGTACTGAAAATGCATTCTTGCCTATAACAGATGTTAAAAATTGCTAAAGCCATGTACTGTGTATTTTTTAAAAGTTATAATATATTGTGTAAAAGACCATTATATCATTTCATTTTACAAATAATTTGAGATTAACCATAAGAATAAACAAATGTTAGAAATATTTTTTTTTAATTTAAATGAAAAATAACTATGGGTAAATGGAAGAAAGATCAATAGAGGAAAGGGAACTAGAGATGGGAGAGGGAATGGGAAGGAGATGTGTTGCAATCTGCATTAAACAAGATATATTCCATGCTTGTATAATTATGGCGAAATGGATTCTACTGTCATGTATAACTAAAAAGAACCATAAAATTTGAATAATTTCTAAGGGAAAAGCATGAAATATGTTCAACAATACCCATAATAGACTATCCCAAATACCAATTTTTTTTGTCTTTCAGATTTTGATTATTGAGATTTTCATTGTTATTTCCTTGTTTGCTTTGAGTTCCAAAAAAGGATCAGGCTCTTCTTTGCTATTGGTTTTAAAAACTGTTGGACTGTGAACAAGGAGCAAAAATTAAGGCATCCTACCCACTGGATGTATAGATTTCTAATTCGAATGCACTGTAAAATAGGAACATTTATTAGAGAATTTACTATTGAAAAAGTTTTTCAGGCTTATTTTTTATATTTTTAAATTCTAACATTTGAAATGTTATTCTGTATTATGGTTTGGATGTGAAGTTTTCCCCAAAAGCTCCTGTGTGAGACAATGAATGAAGGTTTAGAGGAGAAATGAGTGGATTATGAGAGCCTTAACTCAGTGAATCCCTGATGGGTAA